ACAAACACATTGAGCTAGTATAGCATTAAATTGTACATGACAAAAATATAGAGGACACAATTGTATGTTTCCATGGTAACAATAAGGTGTAAAATAACGAGGTTTGATATTGTACCTGTAGTCATTCAGGTATAATGTTACACCTGTATTATCAGTCGGATCAATACATGTACATGTACACACGTGGAATTTGTATAAACTGACTGCCTCTGATCATCTTGGTTTCAACATGATAATCTAGACGTTACAATTAGTCTTTATTGCTGGAAGCAATATCTTTCTGATCAATTACACAAGTATTAATTGATAAAAGATGGCATCTACTGACTGTCAGGCATTTGTCTTGTAGCAACACTGATTTTTTATTGTTAATTTTATCATTTAAAGATAATTATCTACATGTGTATTTACTCTACATAACAAAGTGCAGATGATTGTTATTCTCCTATGATTTAGATAGAATCTTCCTGAAATCTACACATAGAAATAGCACAACAGACAACAACTCATCATATTTGATTTTGAAGTGTACCAATACTCAGTAAATGAGACATGTACCCCATTATCTTTACTTTGTCTAGCCATTATCAATACATAAGAACAAGATAATAAGGATAACTTCCAAATGAATGTATTATTTTACTCCTCAACTAAGAGGCCCAGAGGGCCTGTATTGCTCACTTGGAAATTTGAGCAATCATGGGAAAATGTTTTCAATAAAAGTAATTTTGCAAATACTTCCATATACCATGTATACTTTGCTTAAAATTTTCCAGACTAAATAAAACTTTATACTACTGTTTCCCAGCATATTTGACCCCTTTGACAAGGGAAGAAGGCCAATGTCATTTATTTGGGGAAACTTAATAGCACTCCATGCAAGGTACCTAATGGCGTACTATCATCGTCATGGGCCTCCTGATTATTCAGAACTAATATAAGCTAGCTGTTTAGATGTTTTTATATATTTGATGCCTGTGACCTTGAAAGTAGGTCAAGGTAATTTATTTGAGGAAAGCTTACAGCACTCCATCCCAGATACCTACTGGTCAAATATTATCACCATATGTGTCTTAGTTATTTAGTTACTCAAATGTTTTAATGTATTTGACCCATGATCATCCAGTTGAGGAAAATTATAAGCACTACATCCCAGGTAACTACTGGTCAAATATCATCACCCTGTGCCTCCTGGTTAAAGTTCATGTAAATAAAACATATTCACCTCATTTAAGTGGTTGGCCATGATTTCGAATTCCTGAGCCCAAGGTCGTTCATTTCGGTCCAAGGTGGAAGTGGCAGATCTAGCAGACAGGGCATCATCAATGTCAATTGGATTGTCTGCAGATATCGTCACCCTGTCAATGAAGAAGAGACAAGTCTAACAAAAAGTTCGTCATTTCAATGACAAAATTTGAATAAGTTTATTGTCTTGAGAAAACGGATATATTTTGTTAGTTTGAAGTTATTCCCTGTTTTTTTTTGTTTTTTTTTAAATACAACTGAACAAATTACCACTATAGTTATGTCATATTGCTGGATAATTACTGCATATTTACAGGGAGATAACATCTACAATATTAATGTGTATCAATAGAACAACCATACATATAGCTTAACATCATGTTGTTATGTCTAAAGTTTACAAAAAAATAGGTGTACCTGGTATATATTAGCCACATCTATAGCTGAAACAGGTGTGTGTGTGTCTGTGTTGTACCCCATTTTGATTACTAAATATCAAGTTAAATTAAAATATGTAGAAATTTTAACAACAAGTTGTTTTTGAAATGAGCAGTTATCAGGAGTCAATCTTAATGCATTTTCCAAATGTCCTTATTTGCCCACACTGGTAAATGATTATCTCTTTTTCAGAATTGATACCTACACTCACATTGGCATTTTAAGTTTGTTATAAATATAAATCTTTTTTCTATTCTCAATACTGTTTATTTCTAAGCAGTATGTTTCAACTCAATTTAACATTCCTAAACCTGTGAGTTTGAGCATTCTTTGAGGGCTTAAAATTAAATATTACCAATGGACTAAAATCTATATGTAAATGCCATTACTGCTATACAAACAGGAGGAAGATTACTTGAAGTGAATTATGGGATAGATGAAATGGAGCAAATGAACGGGTGCAAGGACGCAAATTCGTAAAAATACTTGCATGAATTCTAAAGTGATTTGTTAAACAAAGCTGGAAACATGCACAATATGTCAGGGTTTTCCTAGGCTACCACAGTTATCCACAGTGCTTGCCTATCATAAACAGATGTCTGCTATTTATTGTTAACAAAAAATCTGAAATACAGACCGATTAGCAAAGCAAAGTGTACAAACAAACTGGATGCAAACCAAATGAAGTCTCAGCAGGTTTTATTACCTAGTGGAATATTTGTGTGTGATGTTTAAAATCAACCTACAATTCTAACAAGATGATAAACACATGCATACATCTTGATTATCAGTGTCTGCTATAACACCTGTCAAGCTGCCTCTATCTACTTGTGTTAAACACAGTGTAACAGGTCATGTCCGCTACCTTTTCCTTTTAAGTGAAGATGTCATACCCATAAAGAATCTGAGAAATAAACATGAAAATGACATCAGTCTTCAATAAAATCAATTCTGGGAAACAACTTTTTCTAGCTTTGAAGCCTTCATCTCTCAAATGGAAATGTTGTAACAATTTCTTGAAAGTAATTTCCTGAGCTGCTTGTTTGATCCTGGCCCAAGGTAAGACTAGTTGTGATTTCTTAGTTTTATTAAAAAATGGTGTTATCATGTCTTTTTAGAATGTCTAGACAAGAAAAATAAGAATCATAATTAAGTTATCTTTAAATAAATGATAATTGCAAGTCTTTAATATATGTAGATGAATATATGATAAAACCACAAAAAAACATGATGCTGATGATTTTTAAGCAATGTTTTGTACAAGAATGCTTCAAATTTCCAGAAGATTAAATCAAGCTGCGTTACTTACTGTTCTTGTTCATGTTGTGATGTGTTGTCATGGCGACTACTGCCATTTAAATCCACTCCACTGTCATCATCAGGACTGTGGTTGTCAGGTGCCTGATAAAAGAAAAGCAAAATTTATCAATCTTATCACAATATTTTACATCTAACAGATTTTTTTTTAATTTCTTTTCTCAATTTTGATTGTAATTTAAATGTTCTCACATGGTTGATGGATGTTTTGCTAACCTACCTTGCTGTATTGGTGAACTTCAGCATGAACTGTGTTTTCTATGGCAACCCCTGAATCATGATTTGATGAAGTCGGCTTGTGGAAGATAAAATTGTTATCTGTCAACCTATTGGCCTCTGACCTTCGACTTTTATAAGTGATGTCATCTGTTAACCTACTGGCTTCTGACCTTCTACTTTTATAACTGATGTCATCTGTCAGCCTATTGGCCCCTGTCCTTGACCTCCTGTAACTGATGTCATCTGTCCATCTTTCCGCTTCCGACCTCAGACTTCTGTAACTTACGTCATCTGTCAACCTATTGACCTCTGACCTTGGGCCTCTGTAACTGACATCATCTGTCAATCTGTTGACATCTAACCTGGGACTTCTGTGATGGACATCCTCCATTGAACTATTGACCTCTGATCTGTGAACCCCTGTCTTAGTGAGAGATCGTGTTGTTGGAGGGTATGATTTCCTGCAAAAGACAGAAAGTAAAAAGAGTAAAGAACAGATGTTGTTATGACTAGGTATATCTCATACAAAATGTATTTGGATTATTTGAGTAATGAGTCATTATGATAACTATGGTACAGTAAAGTAAATTGTTACCACAAATGCCTGTTTATCAACTCCCAGGACACCCAATAAACAGAAGTGGTGTTAGCGGTGCAATTGGTTAAATGCAAGTGTTAATCAATCGTTAGTTAAACACCTTTTCTTGCTATTAACTGATTGGTTGAAGTGAACTATGATTCCTCTATAGGGACATTTCTCTGTGATATAGCTTAGGTATAGAAACGTAGTAGATGCTTATTTTTTTTTACAAGTGGTTAGCTTAATGAACATACAGATTTGGAGAAAATCTAACAATATCAAAATATTTTAAAACTATCATAAAATTCTAAAAAATGCCTGTAAGTCATGATTATGCCCCACTCTACACTTATAGAATTTCAGCTCAACTAAAAGTCTAACCAAAGAAATGAAGCTAAAATACACAAAGTCTAATAAAAGTAATTAACTTAAGTGAAGCAGAATATATACCTGGTCACAATGACCTAACTATACATGTCACATTATGGTGCAGAAATTAAGAAGACGTATCTGCATGTGTTATAACAGAAACAGAGCTTAACATAAAGTCTAACCAAGATGGGTACGGAAGGATGGGCTGACCGAGCAACAGATAAACAAAAAGACAAAAGCTTAATAATCCCTCCTGAATAACGTGGCGGGGGCAGAACATTTCTGAAATAAAGCTTTGAACTTGTGCACCTCCATTGAAAATTATCACCTCTTACAAATTCCTATACTAAAACAAAATTTATCTTTGCTGATCCAATGTTTTAAGTGCCTGCCGTTTGTCAACTTGTTAAATGTACTTCCATTATTTTGTTTGTGGATAAAAAATGTTAAATTTAGAGCTGTAGTGTGAGGTGCATGGTTTACCTGATGGGAACATCTTTCATAGGGATCCTCAAAGGGGTTCCAGTTAACTGTATCGGAACATTGAATTTGGAATAAGTCTCTCGTGAGGGCTTCTCCTCAACCATGTACCTTGAATCAGTCAAGCGAGACAGGCGGTCCTCCGCCGATGACAGGTGTGAGGGACCAGGCTTTGGGGAGGGTGTGTGTCTATGTTCACTGATAAGGCTGGACTGGGACGAGGAAGGCTGGAGTGGGGACATCTCATGATGTGTGGAGGCTGGACTGGCCATACTGCTGCTGGACTGTGTGGACCCTGGGTCACTGAACTGAAACACCACAAAACATTCTTCCTTAGTTTAAACTTCTATTTCATAAAGTATAGTTTTATCATTTTAATCACATAAATTACCTCCCTTTCTAATCAATACCTTGTCTGATTATGACATTTTCTGAAACAAAAATATGGAATTAAATGAAGTCTAACTAAAATACCTACCAAAGCATTTAAGAAGACTTCAATTAATATAATATTAATTATTTTTTTTAACATTTTTATGCTACATAGGACAATATCTGTTCTAAGGAAACCAACTTGTACTTATGGAAGAGTTATCTGTCCTCTGTAAATAGGAAATACTGCCAAAAAGAATAAAAAAGAGGGTTGAGTAACACTGTAGTAGTATGAGAGTGTACTATATTTTACCGGTGATCATCCAAGAGTGTGTGTGCATGGAAACGTCAAAAGTAGGAGGTGGGCGAGTCATACGAGACTGTGTTTTACCAGTCATAAGCCCAGAACGGACATCATGGTCTGCTATTTTAGTTTCAGATATCAAATCTTACCAAATCCCAACTGGTAGTCGTTCATTTTGTATATATATGGTACGTGAATGTTATGTTTCATATTGCAAATAAAACAGAAATCAAACAAATTAATAAATCTATGGAAAATGTTGGTTAATTTATGGTAAGCAATGAAATGTATTCTTAATTCACAAGTTGTTAAAATGTTATTTTTAATAAATAATAGGTGATCCAGCACTCCTAATGTAGAACTTTGTGGTAGCGTTCTAGGGTGGATCCGTGAGTGGATTATGAAAAATGTTACTTTTATAATATTAAGATTTAATTTGTTAAAAGTTTGTGTTGGTTTTTATGAAAATGCCCACATGGTGTATGATACCATTGATTCTAAAGCAGTCACCGCATTGTACCTGTGGAAGATGGTCTGGGAGTCTGTCCACAGTCCCGTCAACACTGATCTGTTCTATAGCCAACCGTAGTGCCTCCAGGTCACTCTCTGTGATCACCTATAATAAATAAAACAACAATGATTGTCAATGGATCATATAAGTGACACAAAAACCAATGAAAATTGTTATCACTGACAACAAACAATAAACATAGTCACCTGGGTACTAGCTGTATAACAATCAATGCCTGTAGTTATCACATAAAGTAAATAACACAAAGATGCAACAAGAACCATCATCTCCTAGGTAACCAATGACAATAGTGATCACACAGGTATTTACAACTGACAACCATGATCATCTTGGTCTCAACAACTATAATGACAGAGATAATCACCTTGGTAACACAAGTAATGGCATCTGTGATCACCTAGGTAACAAAAACCAATGACAACTGTTATCACCTAGGTAACAACAACCTTTGTCAATGACAACTGTGATCACCTAGGTAACAACAACCAATGACAACTGTTATCACCTAGGTAACAACAACCTTTGTCAATGACAACTGTGATCACCTAGGTAACAACAACCGATGACAACTGTTATCACCTAGGTAACAAAAACCAATGACAACAGTTATCACCTAGGCAACAACAACCATTGTCAATGACAACTGTGAACACCTTGGTAACAACAAAATAATGAAGGTTAATTCACTAATTAAACTACCAAGAGTTATTACCCTTGCCAAAAATTACTTGTTAATCAAAGGCAACCAATTGTCTCAATTTTTGTCATCAAAGACAAAAGCTCGAGCATATCACTTCAAAGGGAATTCAAACAAATACAAAAACTACAATAAGTCTGTGATATGTATCATATTTAATGAAGTTATATGCCATAGACATCAAATAAATAGGAGGCCCAATGGGCCTGCATTGCTCAACTGGTATTAATCTCACACTTGTAACCTTACAAGTGATATAAAAAAGCTACAGGCAAAATATCAGTATTTATGACTATAAGTCATTCAAAAGAACCTGTTAAAAGGTTTAAAACTTTTAAAACCCTGTGACCTTAAAAGTCGAACAAGGTCTTGTGTTGGAACAAATTTTATAGCTTCATCTCAGGATGCAACTTGCAAAATATCACTACCCTATCCTTTTGTTTATTGAAATTAGGTCATTTAAATGAACAAGAGGCCCATGGGCCTTAACGGTCACCTGATATATTTATACAGAGAGTTGATTTTTGTTTTTAACATGAACAGAAATATTATTCAAAGTGACAAAAACAAATAAAACCACCTTATTCAATATCTAGCATGCAGATTTAATACTGAAAAGTATTTGAAACTAGCACCTCTGATTCTAAACAAGGAAAATGAAGAAATTTTATTTTAACACACAGACTCCATTGGGCCCCACCCTACAGCCCTTGGGGGTAGGGATGGCTCAAATCTTTCAAAGTGTCAAACTGTAAACTTAGGGTTATAATTCCAATCAAGTTATCAACATGTAATATCAAAAGTATCATTTACCATTATAAACCATAACAAATGTTGCCCCCCCCCCC